TGTGCGTGTGCGTGTGCATGTGTGTGTGTGTAGGAAAGAACTACTAGATTTAAAAGTGGAAGGTGATTTTATTTGGTAATTTTTATCAGCCATGCAATACTAAGATTATCTCTTAAGTTTCAAGAACAAAAATCCATTCAATGGGCATGAAGACGAGGACACATGGACAGTAATCGGTTCTTTTGTGGGGATGGATGGTTTTTAAACAGCTGGAGCTCAGGAATCCTTTCAGGTCACCCAACTCACACTCACCTTCTATGGCTGCTAGCTGCTGAGTCATGCTAACAGAAGAGTAACTGCTGGGATTTAAGTTTTGCTACAGGCGCTCACCTATTAGAGTAACAGTACTAACTGCTCTCTGTTGATTTGACGTCAGGAACCCTTCTACCCAACCACAGCTTGAGCAGGCAAAGCTAGAACCGCCAGGCCTAAGGAAGGGCCTTGGATGTGAGGCCTTGGATCTAAGATGTGAGGGATTTTTTTTTAAAAAAAAACATTAGTGTAGGGGCTGAGAGGGCAGCTGAGTAGTGGAGTACTTGCCTAGAATGCATAAGGACTCATCACAATAAATAAATTAAATAAATAAATCCATAGAATTAACATAATCATAATCACAATGCAAAGCCTGTCTGGCCCACTGTTTTCTCAGGAGGACTGGGATTACTGGCTCATTCCCTTTCAAAGTTACAACAATAAAACTTAAAAACAAAACAGAACACAGAGACACAGAGAGCCTGAGGCATGTCCTGGAGTCTTTCAGCGAATGAAAAACAAAACTAGTATGGAAACAGGCTCCCAATTCCACACTGCTGGTATGTGGACAGGTTCATCCAATGCTGGTGGGATTTGAAACCATCCCCCCCACCTACCTGCAAAGCTAGCATTCCAGTTTCTGTTTGGATCAGCTCCAATACAGCGGCTCCCCGGGATCCGAGACCTCGTCTTCCTCCATAATCGGTTCTGAAAAAGCCACCAACCACCCAAGGGTGTGTCAAGATACCGTGAAGAGTTTCTCTCGGTGCAAAGACCATAGGAAATGGGCTGAGCTACATATAGGCCTCACTTGGGGGTGCTGGGGGTGGCAGGGAACGGTACATCTAGAGTCCAGTCTTTACTGCTTAGGCAGTCTGCTTTTACGCCTCACAGGAGATGAGCCATCCTTCTGGCTTTAAAAAGGGACTTTGAGTCAGGCATGGTGACACACACCTTTAATCATATCACCTAAGAGGCAGAGGCAGGCAGATCTCTGTGAGTTTGAAACCAACCTGCTCTACATAGTTCCAAGCCAGTCAAAAATACAGACATAGTAAGATGCTCTCTTAAAAAAAAAAAAAGAAAAGAAAAAAAAGTGACTCCCCCAAAGTGCCCTAATGAGATGGGAACTTTCTATACACGAACCAAGCTAGTCCCATCTGAACACCTTGACTAATTATTGGCTCATGCAGAAGTCAAAGCAATGTCCACTGAAAATCACCCACGCCACAGACACGCACAGTGCTGATTGTTGTCTAAGACAGTCACCTGAATTCAATCACAGTCTCAACCAGGGAATAAGGGAACAAATTAAATCGTACAACAAAGAAGCTATCAGCCAGACGAAGAATGTGAGACATTATACAGGAAATTACTTAGTTTCTCCAACAAATGAATGACATTTTAAAAGGACGTGTTTGGGGTGCTTCTGAATGAATAAAGACTGTCGAGCCCCAGCCACAGGTGCAGTGCACAGACCTTATTAGATTCTGGCTTCGACAAATTGACTCCTAGGAGACAGTTTTAAAATAATGGGGAGTGTTAGAGGATATTAAAGAACTTCCATTAGTTTTCAAAGGTGACAGTGGTGTAGTGGGTTTAGGTTTTTTTTTTTTTTTCATTATTATCATCATCAGCCAGAGATGTAGACTAAGGTTGTTGTAGATGAAATAACATGATGTCTGGGATTTGCTTTATAATATGTCAAGAAAATAAATCGTGTCGGAGAGAGAACGATGAATAGAAGATAGGTAAAATGCTGAAAATTGCTCAAGACCCACAATAGAGAGTTCCTTAGACTATTCTCTCTAAAAACAATAATATATTCCCTGGCGATTCTCAGCTCAGAGGATAACTAGAAAAGAAAAATCCCAAGGGAGCTTCTAACATGCACGTTAGTGGAAACGGTCTCCAGGGGCACCAGCAAAATATGGAATCTACCCGGGGAATTCAGTCCAGGCCCTGGCCATTCAGAATTACTCACTTTGCTTTGTGTGTACACGTATCCATCAGGATTGGCCACAGGCAACAGGAAAATATCCACTTTCTCCAAGATGGAGGTGACAGCTGGGTCCTTTTGATAATCAGTCACAATCTAAGCAGAGACAAGGTGCTTGTTAGCGACATTATGGTGGCATAGGTCTAACCAGGTGTTTCCCCCCGGGCTCTCTGAAAAGCCCTCTAAGTCCCTCAAAGCCAGGGGACAAGACTGCACGACAATATCAACTACAAGTAGTTGAGTAAGGAGAGGATGGGGCTGGTGAGATGGCTCAGTGGTTAAGAGCACTGACTGTTCTTCCAGAGGTCATGAGTTCAAATCCCAGCAACCACATGGTGGCTCACAACCATCTGCAATGAGATCTGATGCCCTCTTGTTGAGTGTCTGAAGACAGCTACAGTGTACTTATAATAAATAAATAAATAAATAAATAAATAAATAAATAAATAAATAAATAGAGTAAGGAGAGGATGGCTTTGTTCATGTCTTCCCTACCCTTCCCTCCCAGCCCTGCCTCAAAACAGCTTCTCAACGGATCCTGGAGACAATCTGAGAACCCAGAAGACCTGCGGGGCTTGGAAGGAAGTGAAGGCAAAAGGCATCTGAGTTTGCTGCTGAAGCTCTGATCCCTTTTGCAGGGCCCACGGTGACTCAGTCTCTCAGCCCCCCCTATGAACCTATGAAGCACATTAGCTTGTTCCTTAACACTGTTACTTAACCACAATGGGATGACCTTAGACTATTTACTTCTCCCATCTGCAAAGGTCCCAGACTACCAGGTCCGTGCCAAGCACCTCGTACCTCATCCCCTGGGCCCAGCTACATGGGATGCTGCAGTCCCCCACCCCAGGCCCACTAGAATCCTTGATGAATTCCAGGCGACATGACCTTCCTCGCTGTCCAGATGGCTGTGGCATGTGAGATCCACTCACGGGCATGGATGCCTGCATTCAGCCAAATGGCTGGCCGCTTCTTGCCTCCTCCCGTGCTGAACTGCAGAAGGGAAGAGGGGCCAGAAAATGACCTGCCAGTCCATGTCTCTCCTCACCTCTCGTCCCCCCAGCCCGGTCCCATTCATTTAATTCATTTAAGATAATTCAGAGACCAAATGTTCCTAAGGGCACCATCTATTTATCGCGCTTACCCGTGACCGGGGAGCTTAATTGGCTGCTGAAGCTCTGGGCAGCCCAAACCTCTCCAGCTTTGGGAGTAAATGGGAAGGAGAAACAATTGCCATTGTGGGTCAGAATGCTAGTGTGATTAGAAATAATAGTGTGTCTCTTGAAAGTTCTCAAATGGTTTCCCAACAGAGAGACACAAGGGTACGTGAACCAGACTGTTCTGCTCGCGTAATGAATGGATTCGGTTTTAAATTACGAAGGAGAGGGCCTCACTATAGCTCTTTGTAAAATGGCAGTAATGAATTCTGCTTCCTGCCTTCGCCATAGCGTTGGGGCTCCATGGTCAGAGTGTGGTGCTAATGAAGCCAGGGTCTCTATCAGATGGGCAAATAATCTAAATGTAATTATTTTAAAGGAACCAGCTCAGCAGCATGGCTCCCCTTCTGCCCGTTATTTGCTGTAAACCTGGCTTCCGTGAAGCTAAGGGTCTGGCAAATTCTTAGCACCACTAGTTGTTCCATGGTTTTTACGCCCAAATTCCTTTCTATGTGTTCAGCTGGATTACTTATGTAATTTATGTCATTGTCATAGCTCTCTGCTTCTTTTGCCAGGACAGACTTGAATGTGTTAGAAATAGCTGGAAATTGGGCTCACTGAGGCCAGCAACCCCAGAATGGGCTTAAAAATTACATCTACCTTAATGTAAGCAGCCCATACTCTTTTCCAAGAAGAGGTCCTAAAAGCAGAACAGCTTGTATCCTGTCCTAAGCTGCTAGGTGGGAATGAAGGCTGACTGTGGGCCTCTGAGAGTCTCAAGGAATACTAACGGTCTCTCTTTTGATCCTTCCAATCAAAACACAGACTGGGATATGCTCTTTCTAACAGCCCTCCAGTAGATAAAAGCAGGGGCTTCAATCAGATCAAAATATCTGATTAAGCAAAGATGACTCAGAGCTATGATCTCCTCCTTAGAATCAAGGGTTCTAAAAAGCTGCTTACATTAGCAGACCAAGGTTTGAGTCCTGGAAACTCAGATCTCGAAATTTGTGTGCCGTCAGGATACTTGGAGAGCCTCGGGCCTCACCTTTAGAACATACATGGGCCGTTTTTCAAATGTCTCCCCGATCTTTACTCTGCTCGCCAGGTCAGGAAAGTCTGTGGCAATACTGTCCATCTCATGGTAAATCTGAAGGGTGGAAAAGCAAACCAAAGACACTTCGATTTTTTTTTTTTAAATTTTTTGAGCTAGGGTGTTCCTAGGTAGCGCATGCTGGTCTTGAACTTGGAGTCTTCCTGCCTCACTTTTCTAAAAGCTAGGCTAACAGGCTTGTGCCACTGTACCCAACCAAGTGACATTCGAAAATTCTGTTCCATTATGAGTTGGGTATCTGTGGACTTTATCTTGTCAGTGTTAAGTTTCTTCTGAGACCCTGACCTTGGAGTTAGCCATACCGTCAGCATGGAACTGCGTGAACAGCTGTTTTCTGCAGTTTTCTAGAAGAAGCAGGTTTCAATTGTGTGTAAAATTATAGTCCACTTGAGGAAAGCAGAGAGACTGAAACAGATATTACTCCAAAGTATGATTATTTGGCTTGTTTTGGTTTTTGGTTTTTGGAGACAGGGTTTCTCAGTGTAGCCTTGCCTGTCCTGAAACTCACTCTGTAGACCAGGCTAGCCTCGTACTCTCAGAAATCTGTCTCCCTCTGCCTCCTGAGTCCTGGGCTTAAAGGCATGCACCACCATTGCCCAATATCAACATATGATTCTTTGCATTATCTTGGACTGAATCATCACAATAGGCCTGCTTACCAAGGCTCTAGACAGCAGGATTTGCCAAATTGTTCTCCACCAGCAAACAAAACAAAACAAACAAAAAAAAAAACATTCACAGTGTATGTGTCTCCATGTAATCAATACATCGTGTATAATATAAAATAAGAAAAGAAGCCATATGTGGAAGCAGTCCTTGAGAGGGAGAGACAGATCTCTGAGTTTAAGGCCAACCTGGTCTACAGAGTAAGTCCCAGGATAGCCAGGGTAATATAGAGAAACCCCGTCTCCAAAAACCAAAAAGAAAGAAAGAAATATATAAATACTTGCATTAATAATTGCAAAAAAAGATTGCTAGGAATATGGCTCAGTAAATCAAATGTTTGCCACTCAAGACAATCTGAGTTCAGAGCCTCAGCAACCACATAGAAAGCTAAGTGTGGTGGTTTGCACCTGTAACTCTAGTGATGGGGGAGCAGAGATAAGAAGGCCCCTGAGGCTCACTGGTTCAATGAGAGCCCCTGTCTCAAAAAGTAATCAGTAAATTAAGTGGAGCGTGGCAGAGGAATAGAATGGTTTAACACACAAAGGGCTTAGAAGGTTGGGTGTGTAACTCAATTAATAGAACACTACTGAGCATTCATGAGCTGCTGGGTTCAATCCCCAGAACCCCATAAACTAGGGGTGGTAGCTCACACCTGTAACCCCAGCACTCAGAAGGTAGGGGTAGAAGGATCATGAGTTCCAGGTCATCCTCAGCTACACGGAGAGTTGGAGGCCATGCTAAGCTACTTATATAAAACTTTGTCTCAAAATAAAGGGGAAAGGACCTCTTGAAAACGCCCCCAACCCATGGACTCTAAAGACTGAAGAAAAGCAGAGTAGATACCTTGGGCCATGAGAAAAAGACAGTAACCTACAAAAAGTTAAAACAAATTGGGGGTAGTGGAATCTGCCTTTAATCCCAGCACTCACGAGGCAGAAGCAGGTGGTTCTATGTGAATTCAAGGCCAAGCTGGTCTACATAGCAAATTCCAGAACAACCATAGTGAGACCTGCTTAAAAAAAAAAAGAGAGAAGACTGGAGGGTGGGAAGGAGGGAGGATGGGAAGGAGAGAGGGAGACAGGGGAGAAGAAGAAAGGAAAGGAGGGGAAGGGAGGAAATGGGAGGG